GATCACCTCAGTTTCCGGAAACCTCCCCCACAGTACTCTGACTCCTAGCTCTGCAATGGCTTCAGGAAAGGAGGGATGAATGGGGAATAGGACCAGCAATTCCTGCATCTAACTGCCCTGCCCTCCACGGTTTCCATGGGATGCCACCCATTACCAACCCGAGGATGCCCACCATGTTCCATTTGAAAAAATAAACACTAAGTGATGACTATCATACAGTCTTCTTCCTGGAGGCTGGGATTACGTGTCTGTTGATAGGCAGTGTTCAAACAATGTCTATGTCAGGGTTCGTATTGCTGTGAAGAGACACCATGACCACAGCAACTCTTTAAAAAGGAAGGCATTCGAAGAAGAGGCAGACTCCCTTGCTTAAGTACTGAGCTGAACTCAAGAAAGCCAGTAACAGAGAGGGAGGACTGATGATCAAAGAGATTAAGACTGGGCTGGTTTAACCCCCAGAAACAGCTGACCAGACAAAGGTTAACTCTTGAATCCCAGGCATCAGCCTGGGAATCCAGCATGGGACTGATCAAGATCCCCTGAATCTGGGTGTCAGTGAGGAGGCCTAGGGAATCTATTGAGCCTTGGGCAGCAGATCAATACCCATCCCAAGTATACACACGGACTTTGGACTCCCATAGAACAATGTGAGGTGCACTCTCACCCTGAACTCTTGGGGAAGGGTCTAGGCCCTGCCCTATATGAAATGACAGACTATGCACACCCCCATGGAGGGCCTCACCCTCCCTGGGGAAATGAGGGGATAAGGGGGGGGGGAGTTGGGGGAGGGCACGGGAGGAGGGGAGGGAATGGGAGAGGGACCTGGAACTGACTTGTGAAGCAACCTCGTTTCTTATCTAAATTTAAACTGGAAAATAAAATTTTAAAAAAATTAAAAAAAAGGAAGACATTTAGTTGGGTGGCTTCAGAAGTTCAGTCCATTACCATCATGGTGGGACACGGTGGCCTGAAGGCAGACACCGTGCTTGGAGCTGAGGGTCTCACATCTTGATCCACAGGCAACAGGAAGTGGTCTGAGACACTGGGCACAACTTGAGCATATGAGACCTCAAAGCCCGCCTCCACAGTGACACACTTCCTCCAACAAGGCCACACCTCCTAATAGTGCCCCCTCCCTTTGGGGGCCATTTTCTTTCAAACCACCCCAAATAAAGATGACATTTTTTCAAGCTTTGGAAATCTGCTGTAATTACACCCAAGCTATAAAGACAACAGAGTGAATCTGAGGAAGCTAAGCCTTAGTTGAAACAAACACCATTTTCCACAAGTAAATGTTATACTGTTTGAAGCTAAAGTCCCGTTTTAAATTTTTTAGAATTTCCTTCATAAATCTTATATTTACATAATTTCTAATCTCCTTCCCTATGACCTCACTTCCTGTGCTCTCCTACTCCCTCTCAAATTCAAGGTCATCCTCATTTACAGAGTTAGACACCAGCCTAGACTACCTGACACTCCACTCAAAAATTAAAATAAATAAATAATCAGTTCACTGAACCAAATTTGTCACCAGAGTAATGTGTTCTGTGTTCCCTTGTGCTTTGGGAAATTGAAAGGGATGCCAAGGCAGTTGTGTTAGTGAACTTCGGATTTTATACATAAAATGTTTAAATAGCTGGACATGATAACTCAACGCCTACAGCCCAGCATGTCGGAGGTAGAGGCAGGAGGACTGGCCTGCTACATACCAAGTCCAAGGACAGCATAGTCTACATAGTGTTCCAAGCTAGCCAGGTCCACATATCAAGACTCCGCCCCCAAGCAAGCCTGCTGCCTAAAAACAGAAATTTAAATATAGACAATGTCCCTGGCAGACAAGCAGTTGATTCCATGCCTTGAAAGTGAAGACCCCATGTGAAGGTTAAGATCTTTTTATAGACATCCACAATAACAATGCAGTTTTAGATTACTGGTTGAGAAAACACGAAGTTATTATAAGCACGGGAACACCAAAACGCCACTTCTTAAAAGACGGAGCAAGTTATCTGTGTAACCCACAAGCTCTTCCCTTTGATCACACGATTCTGTCACCCTCAAGATGCCACCTCGTGACCCATGGTGATTTCTTCAGCTTCGGCCTCAAGCCACTCACTGCTCCGGCAGGCGTGAAGAAAACTGGCTTGATCTTCCTTTCTATACTTGCATGCACCTTAGAATCTCCATACTCCAGCATCAGAGCATGGTTCATCCACAGAAACAAGCCCAAGACGAAGGGGTCAGTCCCTTGACCTCTGCAAACGTCAGATCTCCAGAGGCAGGCACGGCGCTCCTGCTCACAGCCTTATCAGTCAGAACTCAGTTACTCGACTGCAGGAGAGACAAAAAACAAGGCTTGGGGGCTGGGGGTGGCCATTTTCTAAGAATACGTGGCTTATTGATGAGCATACAATTCATCCCTCCCACTTCAGAGAAGCTGGTCCGTTGGTTCACGAGTAGCCAACACTTGGTTGTGCATGTGCATTTGAGAATCTGGTCACAAACTGGTTTCCGTGGGAAGCTGCCCAGAGCGCCAAGGCAGCCTGCATGAGGTTAGGCTGGGAAGGTTTCGTGGAGATGAGCTGGGCCTGAAGGAATGTGCCAGATTGTGAAATGGGTGGGGAAGGGCCAGCCAATCAAAGTGACAGCCAAGGCAGGAGGCGAGCAGGGCAGCTTGGCTGGGGCCGGCGGCGGTGAAAGCGCTTTGTAAACTCAAAACAGGGTGGATGTGATATTTATCATGGAGACCAGGGTCGGGAGGCCAGGTTAAGGAAGCCTGGGTGTTTCAATGGCTCTGTGGGCCACTAGCTAAGCGGCCTCGGTGGCAGTTACCAGCTGTTAACTTTGACTTCATCTTCTACTCGATGTGGGGACATAGCCGGCGCCTCGTAGGGCTGTCTTGGGGTTGAAAATTACTCTGTGGTCAGCACTCAAGGATACCAGCTATTAATCAGGTTTCTTACGGTGGGGTGACATGGCAGATCTGGCAAGAGTTCACAGCAGTATGGTAGCCATGGAGGGAGCGATGAGACCCAGCACCACTGGTGAACACGAGTTTGCACTTTACACTTTAGACAGAGAAAAGCTATGGCTGAGAGTTGGGACTCCATGCAGAGGCTGTGCCTGAGCTAAAACAGCGGGCGTTCAGTTCCAATGCAAACAAAGACACAGCTAGGAAGGGAGGGCGATGCTTGCCATCAAGGGATGAAGAAAGCAAGTCTGGACGACTCGAGCACCAGGGAATACAGGAAAGCGAGGGAGGAGCAGAACTGGAGGGAAGCACTCTGTGGGGGTGACCTGGGGGATGTCGAGATGGCGAAGACACCTGATAGCTCAGTGGGTGTGTGGGCGGGCGCGTGAACGTGGTGTCCGCACCCAGGTGTGGTAGCACACACATCTGTCATCCATCCCAGCAGTGGGGAGGCTGGAGCAGCCCGGTGGGAAGTCTGACGTCATCCTGAGCTACACGCACACACAGCGGGGTTCCAGGCCAGCACGGGTTACATAGTGAGACCCTGATTTAAAAGGGGTGTCAGCAGATGGGCTGGGGGGGGCGTGTGGACAAGGGAGGAGCTCACCCACAAAATCCTGGAGAGCAGATCCCGAGGGCGGGAAAAGAGAAGCCGAATTGGGGGGGGGTGAGAGGACAGATCCGAGGACCGGAAGACGGTGGGTGCCAGCGGAGCGGAGGGGGGCGGGACCAGGCCAGAGTGTCTTCCATGGTGTGCTATGAGCTCTTTAAGATGCCCAGGCAGGGGCTGTGCCGGGAAGGGGCAGCTGGCTCAGAAATCCTGCGGCACTGAAGCTGCACTGGGCTTCCGGCTCGGCGCCTGGAATAACCGACATTTCCCAGGCCACGGGGCTTTGCCAGTATGCTGGGGCACCTCTGGCCCCCTGCGTCTGGTCGTATGCTGGTGTGGACAGACGTCTGAGGTTGCTCTTTCGTCCCCCTCCAGCCCTCCCAGCCCCATCTCGGCCGTCTTCCGGTTTCTGCTGACGTATCCCTCGCTCTTCGCCCCAGCATGTAGGATAATACTTGAATATACATACAATCACTCATGTTTGCTGGATGAAAATCCAAACATAAGATATCAGCCAACCAGAGAAGTGCTGGAGGACATGGTAAATACTGACTCCGACCTTGGTTGGAATAAGCTTTGCTGCTGTCCATCTGTCTGCCCCCTGGGGCAAGTTCCTCAAATATGCAATGGGCTATATCGAATATACTCAAAGACAGCGCTCTCCCAAATGATGCCTGTATCTGCAAATATTTAGGGTGCTCAGTTTCTCCAAAAGTTCTGACCTGAGAACCATGCGTAGAAAAATTTAAACAAATACAAATGAACCACTGTTTTCGGTTTTAGTTGTTTGGCTGGTTGTTTTCAGGGTTTTTTGTTTGTTTGATTTTGTTATTTATTTATTTATTGAGGGTCTTGTTTGTTTGCTTGTTTGTTTGTTTGTGGCAGGGTCCTGGCACTCGCTCTGTAGACCAGGCTGGCCTCTAACTCCCAGAGATCTGCCTGCCTCTGCCTCCCGAGTGCTGCGATTAAAGTACCACCATGCCCGGGTTTTAGGTTTTCCTTTGTTTGTTTTAAGGCAGGGCCTCATGTAGTCTTGAACTTGCTGTGTCACAAAGAATGGCCGTGAACTCCCAAGCCTCCTACCCCCCATCTCCCGATGCTGGGATTACAAATGTGAACCACTGTATGGCTGAGTCCACCATGTACTAATGTTTGCTGCAACCAGGAACTGCCCCGGGGAACATCACAACAAAACCATGGAGATAAGCCTGCCCTGGTGGAGACTGAGAGTAAGGACAAATTAAATGTCTTGTATGGGAAACAGCCTTGGCGATGATTAGCATTCGCACACAAATCAGCCGAGGATGGGAAAGGCCGGGGCATTGCCTACGCGGAAGCGCACGCTTCTCCCACCGTCTAATCTTCCCTATGAAAAGTAAAGCCTAGGGGGAAACCCGCGTAGGCCTTCTGAATTGTACTTACAAATTCTTCTTCTGTGATATCTGGCGGCTCTGAAACGAGACAATGTGAAACATTGTTTCACACTCAGACCCCTCTGACTTCCTTTTGGACTAAAGGAGATTCTCTGATTGCTTAGAGCCCCGCCTCGTCCTACTGCCCGTGCCGGGTGAGCTGGGTAAAGTGTCTGTCCATCACCCGCACATGGAATCGATTTTAAACGAGGTTTCAAGGTGGCGGCGGGGAGGAGAGGCCTCTGGACCCGGGCTTGGAACCCACCGTGACCCCGGTGACCCTGGGGCTGCAAATGGAGATATTGGCCAGGTCCAGCAGCCTGGGGCCGGCAGCCGGGCAGCGGTCCCCCACCTACCGGCCGAGAGGCGCTTCTCGGGCATGCCGCCGCCGTCGTCGGGGCGCCCGCCCGCTGGCTCGCTCGCTGCCGGTGCCGGACCCCGCTGTCGGGGAGCGACGGGCGCCCGGCGGCCCGACCTGGGGCTGCGCGCTGGCTGCGGTGTGCGCGCCCTGGGTTGCCATGGAGCTGGACAATGCGGGGCTGGGCTGGGGGTGGCGGCCGGGGAATGGCCGTTACTGTGGAGACCGCAGCCCGTGCCCGAGGAGGAGGAGGAGAAGCAGCAGGGGGAGAGGCGGCTGGGGCGAAGCGGATGCCCCCACCGGGAAGGACCCGAGAGCCGGGCCCCAGTTTTCTTGGTAGAGCCCCACACACGCTCGGTCAGACGCCTGTGGCCAAAGGTAATGCCCCGGGCTCCGTGTTAGGACCGCTGAGTTCATCAGCCATTACAAGTTACCGGACAGGGGGCTGCAAATTAAGATTACCCTGTAAAGTGTGTTCTGGGAAACCGGATGAGAGTCCGGTGTGGTGATGCAGGCCTGTAATCCCAGCAGGGGAGGAGGAGGAAGGCAGGAAAAGTCCTGTCTGCCCCAGGGGAACCGCGGGAAAGAGAGAGGGAAAGACAGAGTTGGAAAGAGCAGAGGTCTGTCTTTAAAGGTGTCCTTCACTCCTGGGCTGACCAGGGCACTGCCTAAACTCATTCTGCACGGTGACAGGGGCGGGGCCAGTACAGTGCCTGAGTCCTTACACAGTTCAAGGCCAGCCTAGGTTACATGAGAACTTGTGTCAACAGTGACAGAAGTGACCATTAAATGACCCAAGTTGACCCAAGTGACTCAAGCCGGAAACCTGGGAGTTTCCTTCCTACAACTTGCCCTCCAAACCCCAAATTCTGGCAGAGCATTGGACTCATCCGATTCTACCTTAAAGTATTTCTGGTTTTGGAACCTCCTCTCCACTCCCCCCCCCCCCAGCAGTCACACACAGCCATGGCTCCCACTGGTGTGCCGTAAAAACGTCCTCACGAGTCCCTCTTCCCGTCTTCGCTTCCAGCTACGAGTTCTTAAATCCATTATCCATGCGGAAAGAAAAACCAGCTATCTGAGTGCAAATCTGACCCACTTAAAAACCACCAGTGGCCCCGCATGTGCCTCCTCGGTGTGGGCCGGGCATCTGTATGCCCTTAAGACAATGGGTGCCTGTGTTATGAGGGAGCCAGGGCACCTGCTCGCCTGGTTGTACTTATTGCTCTTTCAGTATGACATGGGAAAGAGACCAAAGTGAAACCCTGCCCTTGCCAGACAAAATCAGAAAGCCAGATGAAACAGAGGGAGGGAGGGGAGGGAGGGGGAGAGGGATGAGGGGAGGAGAGGTGGGGTGGGGTTCCTCATAGTCTGTGTGGACCCAGCAAGACTCTGGCTTTATCCGTTAACTTTTATGATCAGAAGTGCCACTCGGGCTACTGTTGAGAGGGTGTAGGCAGCTCGGGAACAGGCAGGTAGGACCTGAGGGAGAGCCCAAGGAATGACCTGGCAGTGACAACCACTAGAGGATCCAACTTCAACCCCCAGCACCTCCACGGTGGCTCAGAACCCCAGCTCCGGGGGATCCTGCATCTCTTCTGGCCTCCACTAACTCCCACACGGATGTAGCGCACGCGTACCTAGACACATACATGTAGATATTAACTAATGGAGCCTAGAAGGCCTGAGAAGTCGGATGTGGGAAAGGGGTGTTGGGGACGATTCTCCGTGATCTTGAACTGAGGGGTATTGTCATCAGCTGTGGTGGGCCACCGTGAAAAAGTTCCCAAACGAAGATTTTGAGTTTACAATTAACGTGGGGCTGAAAAATGTGGGATATCCTGGCGTTGGTGGCGAAAGGCTTTAATCCAAGCACTCGGGAGGCAGAGGCAGGCGGGTCTCTGTGAGTTCGAGGCCAGCCTGGTCTACAGAGAGAGTTCCAGGACAGGCTCTAAGGCAATACAGAGAAATCCTGTCTCGAAAAACAAAAAAAAGAAAAATGTGGGATATCAACTTGAGAGTCAGCACACAAATGGGCTATGGTTTTTGTTTGGTTTTTCCCTGCCACCAGAGAAACCCTCCTGGCCTTTTCTTTACCAGGAGCATTCTTCTAGACTCAGCTCGGGAACATTTCCTCCCATAGGTGTGTCCCCATGGGTTCCTGGCCTGGCCTTCCCCCTTGTTCTTGTATAATGGATGCAAACCCACATACCTTAAAGCCACAGTAACGGTGTGTGCCACCACCAGACGCTAAACTCCTGGGCATTCTGGAGGCTGCTCCGTGTGCCCGCCTGACCCTCTGCAACACACTCATCCCGCGGGCCCACCGTGGAGCAGCTGCCTGTTGAAATGAATGTCTGGAACCCTCTCCACAGCAGACACCTGTACTGTGTCCTGCTCATAGCCCTGCTTGCTCGTGCTGGTCAGACAGCCACATTGATAAGTCACTCTGTGTAACAGGACAGCGCCTCACAGATTGCCCCCTCTTACCGGGAGCCCTGAACCAGAACCCAAATAGGACATCGCCTCAGCGTTGTTCTCAGTTTCTAATTTAGAAAACAGATCTAGAAAGGTAAAATAATAATAATTACACCAATGTCTGTTGATACATTTTTAAAATTCCAAAGCCCTTGCTCTTAGATGGTGCACTAGATAGTTTTTTGTCAACTTGACACAAGCTACAGTCGTCAGAGAGGAAGGAACATTAATTGAGAAATGCTTCCATATGATCAGGCTGTAGGCAGGCTTGTAGGGCATTTTCTTAATGATTTATGTGGATGGACCAAGGCCATTGTGGGTGGTGCCCGCCCTGGGCTGGTGGTCCTGGGTTCTGTAAGAAAGCAGGCTGAGCAAGCCATGGGGAGCAAGCCAGTGAGCAGCTCCCCTCCATGGCCCCTGCATCAGCTCCTGCCTCCAGGTTCCTGCCCTGTGTGAGCTCCTGTCCTGACTTCCTTCAGTGATGAACAGGGATATAGGAGTGTGAGCCACATAAACCCTCTCCTCCCCCACAAAAAAACTCCCAAGATTAAAAAACCATGTGGATCACAAAGATAGCAACTTGAACCCAAATGCCCAAACCATAAACTTCTATAATTTTGAATTTTTTGTTAATAATTTTAATTATATGTAATTCATATACCACCCATAGAACTCACTGTGTTTTTTTTTTAAAGTATGTTCAGAAAAGCACAAAGTTAGGACATTTCTACCATTTCAAAGGAATGGCATAGCGCTTAAAATATATCTCTATACATCCCTGTCCACCTTCTGTCTCTATCGAACCCATTCTAGACATTTCACATAAATGGGATGACATTGCTTGTGGTCTTTCCTGTCTGGCTTCCTTCACTTAATGTTTTCAAGGTTCAGATACGTGGTTATAGCACATTTCTTAATCCGCTAATCAATGCACCTTTGGGTTTCCAATTTTTGGTCTTTTAGGGATAATGATGCCATGAATATCCATCATGTGTCTTATGTTTTGGCTGCATGTGTGTGTGTGTGTGTGTGTGTGTGTGTGCACTACATGTGTGCCTGGTGCTCACGGAGGCCAGAGGAGGGCATCAGACCCCCTAGAACTAGAGTGACAGATGGTTGTGAGCTGCCGTGTGGGCACTGGGAATTGAACCCAGGTCCTCTGTAAGAGCAACCAGTGCTCTTAACCACTGAGCCTTCTCTCTGGTACCCTTAAGGGATTATTTTGAACTAAGTTGTTATCTCTTGACAACTCTAGCAGGCAGACCAAAGCTCACCATGATGCAGAAAATGCTCAATGATACATACTAGACAAAGAACTCCTTTTAAGATTATGAATATTTGCACAAATGTGAGTCTGTGTGCCGGAGGCATGCCTGATACCCACAGAGGCAAGAAAGGCATGGGGTTCCCTCAAACTAGTGTAGGCAGACTTTACTTTTCTGCCCACTAGTTCCCAAATAACCAACACAGAGACTTAACACAAATTATAAATGCGCAGCTGGTAGCTCAGGCTTATTACTAACTAGCTCTTACAACTTAAATTAACCCTTTTTTATTAATCTATGTATTGTCACGTGGTTAGTGGTTTTATTTGTCCTCTGCATCTTTTGGCAACCTCTCTGACTCCGCCCTTCTTCCCAGCATTCTCTGTCTGGCTTTCCTGCCTATACCTCCAGCCTAGCTACCAGCCAGTCAGCTCTTTTGTTAACCCAATCAGAAGGTGCCTTGACAAAGACACATCTTCACGGTATACAAAAGGATTATTCCATAACAAAGTAGAGTTATAGTTGTGAGCCACCATGTGGGCGCTGGGGAACAAACTCAGGTCCTACTCGGGAACAGCAAGTGCTCTTATCCCCTGACCAATCTCTCCAGTAACTTAGACAACACTGTTTAATGAGGAAACTAAAATATCATTCAACGTTCTGGGAGAATATTGTTTGTCACAAGATCTCAAAATGCCATGCTCTACGTCCGTGTCAGTGGTTGGGGCCAGGAGGAAGCCCAATAGCTGAGATTTCTTATCTGTTTCCCTGAAGCCCAAACCACAGTAAGCAGCCCTCTAAGAATGAAGAGAATCGCCTGCACAGAGGCCCCTGGTGCAGGGCAGGGTCCATCTAGGCAGGCACCAAGCCAACACCAATGTTTGACACTGAGCAGCCAGCATCCTGACTCCAGTGTTAAATTCACCAGTGTGGGTGGAATTATCTCTCAGCACCTCTGGATCTTGGTTTCTCTTCTGGAAAGAAACACTAATAATAATGGCACCTCCTGTTGTAGAACTGGCTGTTCTTAACACATTGATGTGTCTACAGGACACATGATGTGTCTACAGGCATTTAGTTCACTACCTGGTTTAATTAAAAATGAGTTGTCAGCTGGGCATGCTGGCGCAGGCTTTTAATCCCATCACTTGACAGGCAGAGGTAGGTGGACCTTTGTGTGTTCTAGGCCAGTCTGGTCTACATGGAGAATTCCAAGCCAGCCAGGTCTACACAGTAAGACCCTGTCAAAAAAAAAAAAAAAAAAAAAACAGAAACAGAATAAGATAGTAAAGATACGTAACAAGTTTCATTGTTTACATGGCTGTCCTTGTCTCTGGGTCCCACCATCCCTCAGTCATAATTTACAGTGTCTCTAAAGGTTACAGGAACAGACACTGGGGGAACAGAGAAGGGTAAGAAAGAATGACCCTGCCCCCGGAATATGTATACTCTCAGGAAATAACTCGAGAACACGTATACGTGATCACTATCGAGAATTACGCCATGCCAATGCTTGAGGAAGGAGAAAGCATCTCAGCGAAAGGGGAAAATGGGACACGTGGAGTCCTTTGACACAGGATGGTCCCTTCTCCCTCTGCCTCAATGTGCTCTGCCTTCCTAACCTCGCCCAAGATG